AGTTTTACACAACTTTCTGGCTCTAAATTTACTCAGTGAGGGCAAGAATTTAAGGTGCGACAAGGACTAGAGAACAGAAATTTCTTTTATATCTTATATAATAGTCATTTCAGCAACTTGAATGTTAATTCCCATATTGGTTTTATGATGATTTATTCATTTTAAGGATTCTTTCATTTCATAAATTGCTCTATTGACTTGATATAACAAATCACATGCAAGAACCAGTCCTAGTTTTTGGAGTTAGTAGATGAAAAAAAATGACAGTATTTTCCCCTTTAAAGCTTACTCTCTAGTAGGGAGTCTCAAGCAATCAACAGTACTTATTAAATGCTAGGGACAATATAAGGTCCTGGGGATACAAAGAAAACAGTGCCAGCCACCCTCAAGAAGCTTATATTTGAGGGCATACAATAATATTATATATATATACTTGATAATTAATATAATATAATATAATGTAATATAATAATAATAAGACAATCACACAAAAAAATATAATACAAGTTGACATAGGATTAAATGTATCCAAGGAGTGAAACGGTGACATAAGAATGGAGCTGAATTGAGCTAGACCGAAAAATAATCCAAGCACCTTAAAGGCTAATCTTTTCAATGTTCCTGAACCCCAAATTCTAACTTGCTGTGTTGAAGGGGGCCCTTCTTCCTATTGGGGAATTAATGCTTGCCCCATACCATCTATTTCTGATTCACTATAGCCAATAAAGTCTCCTAGTTGGCTTCTGGGACGAGGTTCTCTCACCTTCCCTACTTGGACAGGCTTAGGGTGGCCATATTAAACATTTTATTTATTAAGCTGAGTACAAGGAAAGAGAGGTTCCTTTGATTGTGCAACTTGGCAGTCAGCTCCCCTCTCTGGAGCTCTGAAGGTCCTTTCCAGCTTTGAAATATGGTGATCCTAGGATCTGGGATCCTGGCTTTATAACTTAAAGCTGTGATGGGGAAGATCTGAGGCTGAAGACCTAGAGCTTGATTTTTTTGAATGGAAACAGGGAAAACAGATTGGAAGTGATTTAACAGAGTGGCAAGGGTACTCCTTGAGATCAGGGACCATGTTTCTTTTACTCAACAAATATTTATTAAATAGTGCCTCTTCAGTACAACACACTACAGGGGATAGAAAAAAATATATATTTCTGTATCGAGATATAAATTGTATATACATATGTACATATGTACATACAGTTATCCCTTCTACATCGTGACTTTCCCACTTGTGGTTTTGATATATGGTGGATAGGCATAAGAAATGAAATAGGAATCTTTTGGGGAGTTTTACAGAAGCTGCAGACAACACACAAAAGCCAGAAGATGACACACAGAGCCTATGATCAAATATGTAACCCAAATTTTACAATAAGGTACTGTAAATACTCCATAAAAGAAAAAGAAAAAAGTTCAGATTTCTCTGGTACCAAGGGAGGGCCAAAACACTTTACATGGATTTTTCTGATGAGGGGGGAGGTGCCATGCCCCTAAAACCTTCCCCATGTGGGAGGGATAACTACACACATATATACATATATAAAATGTCATGAATTTAGTACCTTTCCCCAACTCTATGCTCACTACTTTAATGAGATTCTATTTTTAGACTTGCCTCTAATTTTGGCCTGTGGCTTTCTTTCTTAGGTGAAAACTCCTGTTTCTACAGAGCTTCAAGGTTTACAAAGCACAACCACTCTGGGAGATAGGTGGCATGATATTTTCCAGATTTTCCCATTTTCCAGATTAGGAAAACTGAAGCTCTGAGAGGTCAATTGACTTCCTTGTGATCTACGTAGCTAGCAAATTATCTGTGGAAGGATTTAAACCCTGTGTCTCCTGATTCCAAGCCCAGTGCAAATCTACACTATCCTTCCTGTCAAATAATATCTTTTTAAAAATAAATTTTAACTAGATCTGAGGTTTAACTGGTGTGAGAAACTCCTGATCAAGAAACTCCCTCTATCAATTCAGAGCAGTATCTACTCTTCAACTTATTATAGTAGAGAGTTGCCTGGGACCACTGATAAGTTATTTGCCCAGAATCACACAGCCAGCATGTTAGAGGTAGGATTTGAACCCAAGTCTTCGAGACTCTACATTTAGTTCACTATTTTTTTTGGGGGGGGAAGGCAATCAAGGTTAAGTGATTGCTCAGGGTCACATGGCTAGTAAGTCTCTGAGGGCACATTTGAACTCAGGTCCTTATGATTCCAGGGCAATGCTCTATCCACTGCACCACCTAGCTGCCCCTACCAATATTTATTTTTCCACAACAGAATATCTTGCTAGCAAAGGACTGAGGATCTGGATTTCTCTTTCTTTAGCCAGTCACATCTGAAAGTGTCAGCTGTTGTTTCCCTTTACATGATAATCTTATCCTTTGACCAACCACAAGGGTGTACACAAGCCAAAAAGAAAAAAAAGGGTCTGGCCCTCTTTTCACTGTAAATGTGGTTTGATAGCAAGCCAGTTATCAGAAGGGACAGTTCACTAAAGGAAAGAAATCCCCAGGTTTTATCTCATACAAACACTTTTCTATTGAAAACAAAACAAAAAACCCAAGTTTTTTGTTACTTCAAAACCAAAACAACTTGTAGATGAGGCTAGAAAAACACTGGTTAATTCTAGCTAACTCCCCCATTTGTTGTCAAATAAAAGTTTGGAATATTATCATGGTCATTTAAACTCTAGAGAGGGGGGAAAAACATTTAACCAGAGTCAAGAAATGTTCTCTTGGGAATCCCACTTCCACAATTTTATACTGTGCTAGAGAATAATCCCAACATGGATTATTTAGCAACAATGCTGCTGAAATAAATAGATAACATTATACATATAACCTAGTAGTTTTAATTTGTATTACATAGTCCTATGTTTACATAATACTTTACTAACTTTATTTTTTATTTTTTTAGGCAATTGGGGTTAAGTGACTTGTCCAGGGTCACACAGCTAGTACTTGGAGGCCACATTTGCACTTGGGTCCTCCTGACTCCAGGGCCGGTGCTCTACCCCCTGGGCCACCTAGCTGCTCCCTACTAATTTTATTTTTTAAGAACAAAGTTATCTTAAAAAATTTTTTTTGGAGGGGAGAGATATTGAACTTATAAGATCCTCAAATACAAAAAACCCAAATACAAATTTTATGCATACAGAATTTAAAGTAAGAAGGGACCTTAAGTCCAACTGTCTCATTTTACAGATGAAGAACTGAAGCCCAAATGTCTTGGCTAGAAGCACTCATGTAATAAGTAGCAGAAGCAGACTCAGCAGCTAGGTGGCAAAGTGGAAAAAGGGCAGGCCCTGGAGTCAAGAAAACCTGAGTTCAAATCTGGCATCAGACACTTTCTAGCTGTGTGACCCTGGGTAAGTCACTTAAGCCTGTTTGCCTCAATTTCCTCATTTGTAAAATGAGCTGGAGAAGGAAATGCTAAACCCCTCAATATCTTTGCCAAGAAAACCTCAAATAGGGGCACGAAGAGTCAATGACACAACAAGCAAAAGCAGAATTTGAACCCAGGTCTTTTGACTCTAAATCTAAGGTTCTTTCTGCTGTACCATATCTTCCCCTACAGAGTGAAGAGCTCATGGAAAAACACACAAATACTCTAATAAAAAACTTGGTTTTAATATTAAACTTTGACATTTATTTTTAGGGTATTAAGACCATCAATTGGGTTAAAGACATTATCAATACAATGGTCTGATTTGTGGGAGCAAAACAATTGTGGGTTCTAATCCAGTAAGTTATAGTGACATTTGTGCTGGCTTTGGAGTTGAGAGATCTGGGTTCAAATCTTGCATCAGATATGTATTGTCCATGTGACCTGGGGCAAGTAAGTCCCTTAATCTCTTTGGGCCTCACTTTATTCATCCTTGAAAAAAAAAAAGATGTGAGGCAGCTAGGCGGCACAGTGGATAGAGTACCAGCCTTGGAGTCAGGAGGACCTAAGTTCAAATCTGGACTCCAACACTTACTAGCTGTGTGACCCTGAGCAAGTCACTTAACCCTGATTCCCTCCCCCCCCCCAATGAACTAGATGGCCTCTGAGATCCTTTCCAGTTCTATCTCAATGATGCTTCTGATGCTACCAAGACCTGGGCAGCCTTAGGTAAATCACTTATAATCTATGTGCTTCAAATTACCCTTACCCTTACAAACTATCCTTACCTATAGAATTAATGATGCTAATATGCCAAAAGTCTATTTCAGAATAGTTTAGTGGAAAGAGCACCAGTCTGGGGTTAGAGAACCTGACTTTGCCACTATGTGACTTTTAGCAAGTCATTTAACTTTTCACTGGGCTTCAGTTTCCTTATTCATAAAAAACGAGGGAGTTGCAATGGTTTTCCTCTGAGTTCCCTTTCAGCTTTAAATGAGTAATCCTAGCAGTAAGTAAAAAGCAAAACTATCCCCTCCCCCAATTCTATCAATGCAAGGTATACACCATTATGTGGCCCTTGCCATTATAAATAGGCTATTCTAAAAACAAGTTTTGTGGAGCACATTAACCACATAACTTCCCATTCTGGCTTCCTTGAATAATTTTTAGGACATCAGGTTAATTAAGTAATACATGAAACAGGAATAGTGCTGACATAAATTAATCTATATTCTAAATTTAAACAGGAACTGAAAGTTCGAGTTCCTTTTCATATCAAGGGTTCTATTAAAATAAGCCAAGGAAAACAAAACAAGTTATTGGTTCGTTTGCTCCACTGGGAGAACTTCAGCAAAAGAACTCAAGATACTCTGATTAGAGCAGTAGAAGGTACCAACCAGAGGGAACTGAGCCACTAATATCTTTCCCCAAGACAACTAACAAGAAACATTTTACAATTTAATGCAAACTACAATTTCGTTTACAATATTCATTCTTGTCAAGTTGGACCAGATCGATTCCCTTTTTGGAGACAAAGGATGGGACAGGGTTTGGAACGGAGAGAATTTGAAAGGATGAGAGAGAAGGATGAGTGTGGTAGACTCCTACCTGCCACTGATTTCCCAATACTGTGTAAGTGAGTTATGGAATCGTGGGTTTGGGCAACATTTTCAAAAAAGCTTCCATCTCTTCCTGGTGGTGATATTTGAAGTCCAGCGCCGCCACCAAAGGCACCAAGAATCCCACACACAGGTACAAAGGAAGGTCCATGTTCTAGGATGAAATTGCTACAATGAATTAAAAAAAAAAAGTCAGTCTAGAAGGGACTGGGGAAGAGGGTAAAAGTTACCAGCCCTTTGCAAAGATCGCGGGTCACGCTAAGAGCATCATTCAACAATTCACTTCAGTTCCGTTCAATTCAATTCAATTCTGCTCCATTCAGTTCAGTTCAGTTCAGGTCAGTGCAATCCCATCAATCCAAATTCAATTCAGTTCAATGAACTTTTTTCCCTGCTCCATTCTCCGCGACCTTACAAGTTGGGTTCAAGAATATCCTCCACCCGCTTCACTTCACGAGTGAGCGTGGGGAGCTAGCTGGCACTGCCCCAGCAGTCTTGGCCTCCCGGACCCCGCAGCCCCCCGCAGTCCCCCGCAGTGCTCCCAACAGCTGCAGCAGCTGCGCCCTCACCCCGGCCCAGGCGCTTGCCGCCCCTGGAGCAGCAGCTGCTCCGGGACACCTCTTGTAGCCCGGGGACTGGGAGAGTCGGCCGGCTGGCCCCGCCCGTGGCTCTGAGCGACGTCTCCATTGTCCAGTCAGGAGCTCCGCCGCCAGGACTTTCTCCTCCCTCTTTCCCTCCCCTCTCCCTCCTCTCTCCCTCATACACACCTCTCCAGCCTTCTTCCTTCTTGGTTCCTGGGGCTCGTGGGCGCCTTCTGTCTCACCTGTGCAAGTTTCTGCAGGAGCCGGGGGAGGAGGAGGAAAAGGCAGCCGAAGGGCTCCGTGCTGTCATGCATAGGCAGCTTGGCCCCAGTCCTGCGCCCTGGCTTGCGCTGTCCCGGGCCACACCACCGAGATAGATGCCTCCCGCAGATTTCCTAACGTGTGTGTTTTTGCAGCGTGAGGAAAGAAGCCAGCAACCTGGTTGGATGTGTGTGGTCCTCGCAAACCCCATTTATCATTGCTGGGACTGGCGGGGACCGGGAGCCAGAGGGACACCAATTGGGGGGGCTCCATGAACTCAACCAGTCTTCCTAGTGACTGGTAAAACTTCACTCCATTTTCCAAGAAACATTAGTGCATGTTCCTGACTCGCTTAAGAGCAATTGCTGCATGGATCCTAGAAATTTTTTGTAGCTATCTCTTTGTCTCCTAAAGGAAGCATGCTGACCACCTCCGTAGGACAAAACCTAGTAAATTGGTTCAATCCTAGAGCCCGCTTCACGATTCTCAAGTTTCCTGGAACCTTTCCTAAATTTAACCTAAACAAAAGTCCCCCTACCTCGCTCTGCTATTCTACTGAATATTGTTGCAATAGCCCAGCATCGTAAAATTTGTGTGTAAGGTATAGCAAAATAAGAAGTCACCTTCCAAATGTGCAAAATGTGAGGGTTTTATTTTTTTTTTATATTTTACTATACTCTATACACAAAATGTTTTGCACATTCGGAAATTTTTTTTTGGTAGCGCATGCCAAAGAAATAAAAATCATTCGGGGAAGTTTTAGATGGTGAATGGGGGGAGCTGACTCAATTCATAAATGTGCAGCTTCGGGAATTACCAGGAGAGACTATGGTCATTATTTTAAATACCGATATGGTATGCATTCTCAGCATTCCGGGATTCTCCATTTGAATTTGAATAGCTCCAACTCACACTCCCCCCGCAATGACTCTTCACTTTTATTGAGCCCTGTGGGGTGCAGGGTGACACGCTGAGGGGGAAGGAGGGTTGGGGTGTAGGTGTGTGGTTGCGTGCTACGAAAATATGCTGGTTCCACACCCCACTCCCATTTTGCACCTAGGCTGAGTAGTTTGGGAGTGAGGAAGGGTAGTACCTAGAGTGACCGAAGAATCAGAAAGCGAAACACACACACACACACACACACACACACACACACACACACACAACCAGACTCCACTAATTAGAGATTCTTCTGTATTAGCAAATAGATTTTGGGAAGACATCCCATTTGGTCCCTCACAATTCAGTATCAATTGCTTTAATCAGATCAACAATTTTTAAAAGAGGAGGAGGGACTATGTGAGGCAGAGACAAGAGGAAAAGATTGGAAAGGGGGGAAAAACGAAGAGGAGATGATATTAGAACAGGTCAAACAGGCTCCAATTTGTCACTCTCTCCTCCGGCTTCCCTTCCCAGCACCCTGGTTATGCTCCATGCTCCATATTTAGTATAGCTACTAGGCGAGCCCCTACTCTGGGAAACCCAGAATCAGGGACTTTCAGACAATGAAACAGAAACTTAGAGATTGCCTAGACTCTAATTCCGTCTCTCAATCCTTTTAGGATTTCCTTCTACCTTCCTAACAGCTCTACTTGAACACTTTTATGACAGGAATCTCACTCCTGCTGTCACAGCTTTTTACGTTTTGGAGCAGCTCTAAGTAATGAATTGTGTAGTACATACAGGTTATAAAGGTGATATAAATTCAGATAACCAGGAGAATAATGAACGCTACAGTAACCATGGAAGGCTTTATGGAGAAGTGAGATTTAAGGGAGGTCTTGAAGGATGTTTAGCATCTGAATCCTCATAATGTCCCTCCAGCTTTCAGGAAAGAATTTCGCCAAATCACTCCTCCCCCCTTTTCCTTCCTTAAAGTTCCAGTGGCTTGTATAGAGTATTAAGCAATGGATGTGACCTAAGATAAACTCCTGGCTTTCCCAGTGAATCAGGGCTGCAAGCCAAGCCAGTCATGTTGGGGACCCTGCAGCTATATATATTGATTTTGTAATTGTTTTTGATATGTTTGTATTTTAGAATGTTTAAAAGAAAAAGGCAGAGGCCATTGATTTTTTTTTTAATGGTGGGGCTATTTTTACTCCAAATGTTCAGTATTTGGACTGTATTTTGGGTAAAATTGATTTTTAAGAGCTGGCCTGGGAACTCAGCTACAATTTATTACATTGCTTCTTTGGGGAAAACGCTTTTGAGTATAAAAGCCCAACTTACAAACAAACTTTTGGAACAACCTATTTGCAAGCTGGGAACTTGTTGTTCTGAGTAGCCAAAGGAAAATATTGTCAATAATAATTATAATGATAATGGTAATAATAATGATAACACACATCCATGGAGAGCTTTAAAGCTTACAAAAATGCATACTAAGATGCTGTGCACAACTAGTTCACTTGGCTATAGAGCCTACCTAGGGCCTAGGATTCCCCAGTCACCTGATCAGTCAAGACCAGCTTGATTTTTTATCTCGAATGTGCATTGATGAGGCAGGAGGCAGGATGGAAGCAACTCCGTTTATTTTTAGTAAAGCACTTACTTATATAGTAAAATAACAGGAACTCTTTCTCAAGTTATAATGACGTATAGCCCATGCTGTTCTCAAGGACAGTGCATGCACGTCCTGTGCACTTATCTGATTCCAATCCCCAGAATAGACTGCTAATGACCATACAATAACTAGGGGAGTTAAAGATTGTTAAAGATCCATACAATGGAGCACCTCACCAGGCGACCTTTGAACCAGGCAACCTTTGCTCAAAGATCAGTACCCGAGAGGGGCCTCTGCCCATCAGTGAGACCTCTTAAACAGCCTGTGGCCCTTTAGATCCCTAACAATTCCCCCTTTTTGTTTTTGAGGGAGACGGAGCATGTGAAGCTCAGTCCTAAAGTCCTTTATCTGATTAGCTATGCACCTGAGCAAACGGTCCAAAACACAGCATGGCCAGCAATAGCAAACATAGTGGCAACAAAGAAGACAACAGAGACATAAGCCAATGTCCAAGGTTATAGAAAGGGTTAGGGAGTTCATCTAGCCAATCAAGTATATGTTGGGCAGTTTTATCTGGCATCAAATCTTTATCAGCCACCCTTGCAATATCTTTAGCAATTTTGTATAAGTCATCAATATCCACTGCAATACTAGAATTTCCAAACAGCCCATTTAGATGCCTATGCATTCTTTGCCAATACCATTGGGATTTATTGTATTTAACATTGGTAAGGCAAATGAATTTATACCTATAATCACATTTCAAATGTGTTCTATATTCTAAAATATCCAATTCATCACCTATTTCTATAATGGTTTCCTTCATTCCCTCAAGTATATGGTAAAATTCATCATATATCCTCTTTTGTGTTTGGAAACCCATTGCAAGCTAATTGATTCATAAAATCATTTCTTGAGATAGATATAGATTGAGATAAAGATACAGAAGCAGTTATGATAGCTATAAGTGAAATAATTCCTAATGCTCCACATGAAATACATCTCTTTTTTCCTAGCAACTGCTAATTGATTACTTTGGTCTATCATTCCAAAAATATTATCAGAACGTGACTCATACCAATCTTTGCCTTTCGCAGGCACCAAGGCAAGCTTTTGTTGGGTAATAACAAAAATAATTTGGTCTCTAATCTTTTTTCCTATACATTCAGACACCTTGCAATTAATACAAGTGACATTATATTCCCCTGAATCCACGGCCATTATATTAACATTCTGTGTTCTTCCCCACATAAATGGATGATGACCAGTCAAACAAGCTCACATTGTCTTATTATCATGGATGGTCCCTTGCAAATCATGATGTTATGACCTAAGCTGCCCACACCTTCCACAACTGATTTTCAACCCCTTTGTCATGAAGGGAAATCCACTAAGGAAATGGAAACCCACCAAAAGCCCAAGTATGATTGTTTTTCTCCCTCGTATAATTGTGCCAGGATTGTAAAATTCTTTTGTAACACAACACAATGACATTCTGAAGTATGATAAGATAACCAAGGAGGATACCCTAAGCTCTTGCTAATCGGTGTCACATGATAGCATGGCTTTGAATTACTTGGATGTCTGATAGGTATGTCATTAACACACTGTGACCCCAAGATGCCCGTGTAAGTGACCTTATAAAATTGGAAAAAGACAACAGTATAAGGAGGGGGTGCTGTGTTATTAAACACATACCCATCAAAACAGGTGGTGACATTAAATAATTGTAAACACATGGAGTTTTTGGTGTCATTGCCTTTTGTAACACAAATAGGTGGCACCAAAGTCACAACAGTAAAGTTCATTTTTACAGTGTGTTGAGACTGGTTCTTAGGTGATATGAAATGAAATTCCTTGCCAAAACCTGTGGAGGCATTTCCTTGCAGAATGACCTCAGGTATTGTCTCTCCCCATGTAACTAGTCTGGGCCATGGTGGTTTTGTCAAAGGCCCATCGTGTTGTATTTCCTGTCTCTGCTGCCTGTATTCTGTATCCCTGCTGACGATAACGACAAGAGGCACAGCTTGGTTAAAAGTTCTTGTAGTGCCTTCTTCTTATTCTTTCGGCTCCTTCAATTTCCTGGCCGGCCTGTGTTTTCTCTTCTGCTTGCCTTGTCCCTTCTGAATGGATAATGGACATCCTTCGTTCTGACCCAAGTTCTCCATCACCTGTGAAAATAAGAACAAACCCTTGCCCCCAGGTTAGCACTTGCCCT